TAGGTCTATGACATTATTGGTCATATGAATCAGAATATTATACTATAACCAGAAAAAATTAACCAACAATCTGTGAAGGATTTGATTTTTGTTGAGGAAGTACCCCCATGTAAAGGGATACCTACACTCCAAGCCATCGCATGCAGCAGCTTCCTCACCATCACCATCATCATCATCAATCATGGATTTCCCACACCACATCACCATACCACTCACAAGTGGCAGCCATACTCATTTTTTTATAATTTAGCCAAGTTCCTTTAAATTATTTTACTAAACAATGTAAAATTTTGTCAGTCGGAACCAGAACAGCTACCTTCCTAGCCTTCATTTTTTTTTTAATACGGCCTGAAAAATACACAAAATGCAAAACATTTTCACAAGTCCTAATACTATTCTTCAAGTTACAAAACCCAGCAATCGTGGTGCCTTCCCTCCTGGGATCAGGAATGTTTACAGGAGGTGCTTCCCCCATCTTCACTCCTCTCAGTCCTCAGATTTCCAGAACAACGTGAGGATGTTGTAGGAACAGAGTAGGAAACAGTGTACGGAACACTTGGCTTTTTAATGATGTTATCCGTCCATTCATGGGCAGAATTTAAAATATAAAATAAAACTAGTTTATCACTTTGATGAATTGCCTCCTGTCTGTGAAACCCCCTTACACTTTCACTTTGGTTTGTGTTCAAGTGACTCTGTGTGCACAGTTTCTTTGGATTTATATAGCATCTTTCTTGGGAGGATGCATTTTGGTTCTAAACAAGTTTAGCCACTGCATGTTTTCTTCTCTCCAATAAGCAAACTGAGACTTAGAATTAAACTAAAATTCTAATTTTTTCCTCTCCATTCAAAGTATCCTGGAAAAGAAAGGGACGTAGTGAGCCCACTGCTTTCCCTACTGGGTTCTTCCCAAGTCATATTAAAATTAATACCAAAATCACGAGCAGGAGTTAGACATATTAATTTTGTGTTGCTTAAGGGTTTTACAAAAATGTAATTAATATTCATGTATTTCTTTATGTAAAAGTGTTTTCACTTAGTCAGGCTTTGGGCACTTTCAAAATGTATCTATAAAGTAAATGTTCTCTATGATGACCCAGGCTGCACAAACTAATGGCACAGATGGTAATAAAGATCTTACCTAAATGTGGCTTCCATTGGAAAAGATTTTATATTATCATCATCCTATATGAGTATCAAAACTTCTGACCACTAAAATTTGTTCTCCTCTACCACGTTTTAGTTTGCAAAAGCACTAAGACACATATTAACATGTGGCTAAAATAGTAAAAATATATATATATATATAATATTATACAGCTTACATACCACTTTCACAGATACAATCTTATTCTTAATGGGAAGTTTGATATCTTTTATAGTTTTTCCTAATGGTCTCTGCCTTTAATATCCTCAAAACTCTAAGAAACCGAAACCCTGAACCTGAATTTTTCCCAAATTATGATTGTCGTAGCCCAAATATATTCACAAAAGTAAATCTCAAGCAGCTATAACCAAGGATCCAAATTAACTGAGTGTAGGAAAGATTAGAATAAGTGGCAATTATCCTTCAGGGGCTCTCCACCAAACAGGCACAAGCCACATGGAGGAGGTGAAAATGAAATGGAGATTGAAGATGTGATTCCGTTTTCAACTGAAAATACACTCATTCCCCAGGCAGTATGTGGCTCCATGGACTATTCTTAGCCCAGCACAAAGTATCAGGTAATCAGTAACAATTAACATGATGAAAAAAGTAAGAACAGGAAGAAAGGAGGCTAAAATATCACCTAAGTACAAGGAAGGAATAGGAAACTTGAAAATTAGCCATTCATATTTCTCCCTGGAGATGATCCTCTGTTCAAAGTTGACTCATAGGTTTCAGTGATCACCAATGGACAAGCTTGTTATCCAAGATACACAGAGTGACTATATACAAATTACCAGAGCTTTACTTTGATGCAGAAGTTTTGTGTATTTACCAAGTTTTTTTTTTTTTTGGAGGAGATGGTGATTATCCTGTAAAAATACTGAGCAATAAAACTGAAATAAGCATATAGCATTAAATACCCACATTGAATTTCTAAAACAAAAAACAGTAAATATAATTAAATTTCATCTTAGTTTTACTTGAAATCCTTAAGTTGTTTGAACTCCAAAAATGAACACCAGGATAAAATGACTTCCAATTATCTTATGAAATTTTAGATAAAACCCATCTTGCAAAATCACTTCCCGCTTGTCTAATAACAAATTTATCACCTCTTAATAACAATGTGTTGACATTTGTAACAATTGTTCTCACATTATTATATGCCCAGAGAAATTTAATCTATTACTTTTCTTCCTACATATTGTGGCCCATGGGAGAGGAACCATACCATGCTAATGCTAAATAATATCAACTTCACAGAAATTCTGTGAACATCACCATGGGATATTCAACTGGATAATCCCTGTGACAGCATCATTTTACAAAAGGAAAAGGAAGGAATCAGAAATAGTAAAGCTTAGTCTAACTGACCTAAAGACACCAGATTAATTTATAACAGAAAAATAAGATAAAAACTAACAAAATAGCTTTCTGGTTTGTGTAGAGAGAACAACACCCTTTGCCTGGATTTTTTGTTTTCCTCTGAACATAACAATTTAGGCCAGTATCTTTCAAACTGCTTTGACCTCAACCCACAGCAAGAGATATATTCTATGTCATAATCAGCGCTCGCAAGCACATCAACTAAAACAAACTGAAAGAAAACTCATCCTTGGTAAGTATCATGCATGTTGATATTTTCTATTATATTCTTTTCCACTTTATTTATTTTAAAAAGAATGTTATAGATTCACTAAATCGATTTCGTGATCCCCTGGCTCAAGACAAGAAGATTGAAAACGGCCCCAAAACTTTCGATAACTAGTTCAGAAAACTAAAGTTTCCTAAAACCACTACTCGATTCACTTAATTCTACCCGCAGTTTTTCAAAGAGGAAAACTGAGCGGGGAAAACATATAATAACATCTGACCCTTTGAATCACTTCCATAAACGTTTCTTCTTCCTCGAAGAGTCGGAGGTAGAATCCAAACCAAAGAAGGAGGATGTTGTGGGAAATAAACCCTGGAGGGAAAAAAACCACTCCAGGACTGATTTTCCACAGAGAATCCCAGTGGTATGAGTTCTTTATTTTTAAAAGTTCCTTGGCAATTTTTTTTTATTATTCTATCTAAAAGTATTTGAAAGTGATTTAATGCAAAAAGTTTGAGAGGGTATATTATAGTGATATTATTTGCCACTGAGATGATGAACAGTTTTGAATAAAATGTGATCCTCTCTTTATGTGACCATGTTCACTTTGCAATTATTAGTAACACAGTAAATAATCTGCCAAGGAGCTGCCTCATTAGTGCCCATTGAAATTCAGTGGCATTAATTTGCAATGAAAGAACTGAAAATTAAAATGGAAAAGAAAATAGTGTCTGGAGTCCACCATAAGGTTATGGAATTCACATCCTACCAATGCCTTCCTTCACATCAAGTAGTTTAAAACATTATGTGAATTAGACTTAATCGCTGTGTTTTGTTCTTTTATCCAAAAAAAAAAAAAATAGTGAGCAGAAGAAAAATTTTTTTTCATTTTAACCTTGAACTAAAACAAGGGAAATTAATTTGAAATAGGCCAACTTTTTAAAGTTTTGTTCAGTGTGTTCCATGTGATAGCAGCTTGGCTGTGGAATGTTCTAGAATCCTCTAAGGAGACTGAAGATGTTATGTTTGGACACCCCAAGACCTATCCTTCCATGCCCTCTGGGACCAACCTGCACCGTGGTCTTATTTCCTCTGCTATAAATATCTCTGGAAATACTACACTGAACAGAAGACTGTCCAAGGCTTGTGCTGCAGTGCCCTGGGGTCTGGATCCGAGCAGGAGGCAAGGGCAGAAGCCAGGGCGCAGCAGGGAAGAACTGAATTTCACCCCCGTGCCTGGTGCAAGGGCGCACAGGTGTTTCCCCGGCACGCCCACTTCGGCTCTCTGCAGGCCCATCAGCAGAAGCAAGGGGAACAGTGCCTATCAGGAGGAAAAAAACACAAGAATACAAAATACCCGCCGCTTCAGCCACCAGCCATGGAGGAGCGTTGTCCTGCATCCTGGACAAGCCCTGGAGGAGGGCGTCTCCCCAGTGAGCGCAAGTCCAGCCTCTCCAGGGCCACACCGGGCCCTGCAGGCCAGCCTGGCCGCTGATCCAGCTGGCGGGGACAGTGCCGGTACTTCTACTAGGCTCCTTTGAAACTCACAGGATATCTATAAATTCCCGCTGTCAGAAGTCCTGTGCCAGGATCCGCTCCGACACGAACTCAGTGGGACAGCAGCGACTTGCGGGGACCCCTTCACCTGCTGGGGCACGCGATCCCGCCCTGAAGCCCAAGCCTGGGGCTAGGAATCGCTGCCCCTAGAACCCACTTCTGCATCGCAGCCCGCGTGTTTCGCGGCCCCAATTCTGGCTGAAAGGCAAGATTGTGCGAACAAAACAAGGTCGTGAACTAACGGCAGTGATAAACAAAAGTCTCCTGAGCTCCACTAAGCCCAGACCACCTGCAGCTTCGGATACCAAAGTGGGACTGCAGGGACTCCCTCAAAGCTCCTCGCATCCTGGCGCGTGGGGCACTTCCCCCCAGATAACTGCGGCGGTACTCGGTTGTCTAGTTAGGAACCACGAGGGCTTTCGGATCCTTCTCTTCCACAGACTGCAGAGGGGCGGACAGCCCGGCTGCCCACGGAGAGGACGTGGCCTCTGCGAATTACCGCCAGGCTGGGCCGCGCGCCCGCCCCGGGCTCCCCGCGCGCACTCTCGGGTCGCGCGTGCAGCGGCTCAAGGAGACCGGGACTACCCCGGGACCCCAGCCCCGCAGCCTGCGGCCTCCTCCGGCGAGCCCCCTCGTCCGCCTGCTCCCTCCCGCCCAGCGCGCGCTAACCACCCCGACGGGGCGCGGCGTCGCGGGTACCTGTAGAACGCTGGAGGGCCGGGCTCGCGCACGCCGAAGCCGCTTGGCTCGTTTTCCAGGTAATAGGGCACCTGCTGGCTGTGGGGGTGCAGGAAGGGCGAGAGCTGTGGCGGAGGGTGCAGCAGCATCAGCGGGCTCGGAGACACGCTGTTGAGCTGGGGGAAGCCCCCCAGGCCGTTGGAGCCGAATGCCGCCTCCGAGCCCGGGCCGTAGGCGAGGCCGGACTGGCTGTAGACCGGCGCGGTGGCGGCGGCAGCGGCGGCCGCTGCGGCGTTGAACTCATACGCGGCACCCTCGGGGTAGTTGTACACAGCCGGCTTGCTGCTGTCCACGTACACTTCGCTCAGGGGCCGCTCCAGGGGCATCTTGAGCTGCGGGCGGTTCAGGGGCTCCAGCTCATTCCCTTGGATCTGGTGGAGCAGGGCCATGCCGGATGCTTTGGTGTGGAGGGTCATGGTCATCCTCAGTGGCCGCGGGCAGGGCGCAGACCGTGTCCCCGCGCGGCGGAGGGCTCAGCAGCCCACGGGCCACCTGGAAGAAAAGCACAACCCGCAGTTAGAGGCGGCGCGGCGCATGTCCCGCTGCGAGCTCACTCCGGCCCTGGCCCTGGCCCTGGCCGGGAAGCCGGCAGGTCCAGCGGAGCCAGCAAGCAAGTGCAGCGCTGGTGCAAGTGCGCTTGGCCAACTTCTGGGCTCCCGGGTCTCCAACTTTTAAGTACTGGTCTCCCAAGCTCATATGCATTACAAAGGCGCTGGAAGCCGTCCAGGGACTATTGCCTCGCACTGACATTGGTTCAAACATCACTCTAGGCGCACAACTCCTTTTGGAGCAATCCCAAAGAGCAGATTCCCTGAACTTTACTTTACTTGGGATCACCGCTGGATGGAGGCTGAATTTCACTGCAGGGGAACGAGAGCGCACAGTGATCTCCTAAAGGTGGTCCAGGGAAGGGATTTAAAACAGACGCGGAATATCAAGCCAGGGAACAGCTTTTTCTAACATGCTGCCTTATGTGCCCAGTGCCAGACTCCAATCTATCTCTGTTTGTCTCTCCTCCTGTTTGATTCACCCTCCTTGTTGGCGAGAAATATGTCGTGTGTACATAGAATGACCCTGGGGAGGACTCCTCTGTTACTGCGATATGGCTGATAGGATGGAGTGTGCAGTTGCCTATGCAGCCAGCCACAGACAGCTATATTTAGCAGCTGCAGGAGCTGGTAGGAGGCATGGGGACAGAGAGGGGAGGAGAGGTAAGGGGTACATTTGGGAAGAGGTACATTTTGCAATCAGGAGAATATTCCTGGAGACCTGTTACCTCATCTGCAAAATGATCCCAGAGCAGTGGCTTCCAGACAGGAACTTCTAAAGATCCCCCCCCCCCCAGCACACACACACACACACGCACACACACACACACGGAATTTGGCTGTGTTGGACTGCAGCATTGCATTTGCTCCCATCAGAAACCCTCATGTGAATGGTGATTCAGAGAAACCTTTGCTTAAGCTCACATGGGTTTTCATGCCTTCCACAGGTTACACAGCCAAAACTTTAGATAAGTGAATATGAAAGGTGACTTTTTCCTACAAAAGATAACCTCAGGTCATTAAGCAAGACTTTGGCAATTGTGTCACCCTACTGGTCTCACCAACAAACTTAAAATGCATTTTTGTTCTTTAATCCCACCACTGGCCCCTTCTCGGTTCACTTAAGCTAGGAGACACAGGCTAAAATATATGATGAAAAAGTTTTGAACTGAGTTACAAGAGTTTTGAACTGAATTACAAGGTAAGCATTTAAGCACACACACACACACACACACATCTATTAATGAGACAAAAAAATGCAGGTAGTATATCATACATCCAAAGTCTTAGATAGTTAATAGTTTTTAATCACCTTCCCTGGCTCCAGCCTAGTATAGCCATTAATACTCTGCAGAGTACCTGACAAAATGGTCATAAATAAATGCCAAGGTTGCTGTTAGGAACTGTAATTTTTTTAATTTTATACTAATAAGCATACATTTCTAATTATTACCAAAACAAACATTTTTGGATAATGTGCAAATGCAGCTGATTTAATATGAAGCCAAGATTGAGTTTAGCACTAGTAACCATAGATTATAAGCAAAGAAAGGGTTAAAAACAGATTAGGTGAATCACAGCTATTTCTCTTTATGGCCAGCAACCATTAGTTTCCAAAGCAATTTTTTTTACAGATGATTTAGTTTCCGTAAATCACACTTTCAATTTTCAAATGCCTTTTTAAAACACATGCAAGAGCACTTCATGGGGCTCTTAAAAAATCTGAACCTGCCAAATTATGTACAAATGACACAAAGACCCTACAACTCCTCAGAGATAAAGGAGACACACATCTACCCCCCCCCCCATGGCAAACAGCAAATCCTCATCCCCCAGATAAGATACAGACCCTGGCCAGGAAGGTAAGTTGCTTTCTCAAAACGCTCAAGCTACAGAGAGAGAAATCAAAACAATATTACCCTGCTGGATCAAGAGTGTCTTTCCAGAAATGTTCCATGGGCTCGCGGACGTCAAGGGGCAAGAGCGTGAGAAGGAAGAAAGGAATGTGCTTGCATGTATGAGCGGCTTGGAGTGTGAGCGAGGCAGAGCGTGTGTGGATGTGTTTGTGTGTGGAATGGCAGGGAATCGGGAAGCAGCCAGTAGGCAGGGCACTTGGCAGCCCCTCCCGGCAGACGCAGCAGCTGGGCTGCTGCACGGAACTGGATGAATGGCAGTGAGGACTGAGGGGGAGACACTGCCCATGGAGAACAGTGTGGCACAGCTAGAGTGAGCCTCACCCAGCCAAAGAAAGCCAGCCCCCTGGGCTCCCTACCTGTGGAGCCTGGAGCATGCCCCGTGCTTTCCACTGCCACCCCAGGCAAGAGGGAAAACAGGCTGGCTATAAATCACAGGCTCACAGCTAAAATAGAATGCCAGTCAAAAGTGCATGGATATCAAGTTTACAAAATGTGACATGGGTGGTTTTTCCTAAAGAATATAACCTAACAACAAAAGCCTTCCAGGATGTACTTGAATCAAATGCCTTGTTGGCCCCAGCTCCCAGTGTCAGAACAGACACACGATTGCCATGCCTCCAATTTGCATCAGGAAATCAGACTTAGAATAAATGTTTTGGCATTCTGAGGATGTGTTTCCAGCAGAAATGTAATACTTCTCCACTTCATTGACCAAACCCACAACCTTTCCATGAACAGTTCGTTGACTGTTTTCTGTAAATATATGAAAAAATATTACTAAAAACCTAGGGTATGAAGATAAGGCAAAGTTGGGTACTTTGTTTTAAACTAATTTTAAGCTTTCATAGTGCACTGGCATTGATAGTGAAGAGAGGTCTCTTGGTTCCCAGTGATGCCCACATGAATCTGCCTGTTCCTCAACTTTTCTCTTGACCATGGTGGTAGCACACAGACCATAAGGTGTCCCTAGTACACCCAAGGTCCCAGGCCACGTGATGCCTAGTGGAGCCTTTGTTGCCAGACATTAGTCACCACCTTGGGTATTAAATGACTCTAATCACAATGCCAGGAGTGGCTGGTCTCTGGCTCTGAAACCCTGTGCAGTTACCAAGAGATTTATGAGTGGCTCTGGAGCTCAGAAGAAAGAAGTTGTAACTGTTAATAATGTCACAATGCAAATATATATTCAAGCTTTGAAAGATCCAAAACTATTATAGTAGTGCTCCCTCTAGGATCAGCAATGGCAACAAATCTTGAATATAAATAAATAGGAAAAACACAAGACTATTCCACTTCACTGGTGACAGTGGCTCCTCCTATAGGTCAACAATGGCCACCATGAACTAGGCTGGGCCAAAGTTAAATGAGTGTGCAAAGAGGGAGGATAGGAGCAGAGAGAAGAGAGGAAGAAGAAAAAAAGGAGGGAGTGAGGAAGGAAAAGGAACCTGCTTGTGTTCATCTTGAACCCAGCATGAATGAAAAGCCTCAGTGGCTCCTCATTGACTTTGTTTACTCAGAAACTTACAATCAAAGTGAATCTGAGATGTCTAATAGTCACATCTTTCTTGGCCTCTTTCTCCCTGGCACTTTCTTTCACACCCTTCTTGGCGAGCCAGTCCCTTGCTTGGTGAATAAAGGTGGGAAACACCCTGTACTGTGCAACATTTTCACAGGTGCCTCTGGCATAGCTTCACACCCACGCCCCCTCCACGTGTCCCCTCTAGATACGCTCCTGCTAGGCATATACAGCCACTGCCACAACCTATGGGCACTCCCAGGTGAAGAGGGATCTTTCTTTCCAGTGTCAATGGCCAAATGCATTTCCAGACCCAACTTCCAGCACTCTCTGGGGTAATGTTGGCCCGGTCAAACACAAGTTATCAAGCTCACATCCTCCAACAGGGTTTCCTCTGAATGTCCCTTGTCTCTGTACAGCCTTGCTATCCCTCTGCTCACCCAGATTACCATCTCACCCTCTGCTCTGAGGGCCAGCCTTCCCTTGCTGCCCATACCTGACCAAGAAGCAATTATTGAGCATTCTGGCTGTGCAAGCCTGCCTTTCCCAGAGCACTTCTATTGCCCACTTTAGCCTTTCGTGACCTCACTTGTTCTAAGTGCATCCTAAGAGCCTCTCTGACCACTCTCTTCACCCACCTCTTCCTAGAGCCCTCTGCCCATTTATTTTCATGGTTCCTCATGCTTCTTCAGGATGCAACTTGTCATGACCCAGCTCTGCCTCAAACCCAGATCACAGCTTCTCCAGGAGTTGGGGCTGTCATCCTCTCTCCCTATAGCCAACCTGTCTGTTCTGCCCACGCTGACATGTTGCCTGTGCTTCAGCCAAAGGAAAACCTGACATTCCAAGAACTCAACACTTCTCTTTTCCACCTAGAACCCTCACCTCCCTGGCCCACCAGGGAAAATCATCCCCTTTTGAAGGCACAGCCTAAATGCCTCCACCTCCTTTCATTCCCTATTCAAAGAGAATTTCCTCTCCCTGAACTCCAGCGGTAGTTCTCATTCATTTTATCATGTTCCGCCTTGAATTAGAGCTATTTGTGTATTTGATGCTCTCATTCTGCTCAGAAGCTCCTTAAGGACAAGGTCTAATGGAAGGTATTTTATGAATATGGGTCTCTCAAACTGTGCCTGGTCATATTCGGTCATCAAATTTTAGCCAATTTATTAATCCACATATTTACAAAGATAAAATAATACCACATTGGTCTGAATAACAATATCTAAAACCTAAGTTTCCATGTGACATTCTAGGATTTTCAAAACTGTTGTTGCTAGAAGATTATCTTTGTATCTTCATACCGACTAAGGCCATAAAGTCAAAATTCAAATTCGTACAATCTCGAGGCTTAAGCCTGCAATTCTTGGCAGCATGATTCACAAGAGAGCTCTGAATTTTTAGTTTGTAACCAGATAATACTATGACCAAACATTGCTTCTTCTGTAGCGCCATTAAAAGCTTTTTACATTTGCAAAAACATTATTCCTCCAACAGAAACACAAAAGAAAA